GCTGACTCAGAATTAGCTCTAAAATAGGAAGCTATATTTGTTTTGCATAATGCTGCTACAGGAATGGCTAAAAATAATTCTGATATGCTTTTAATAATTAAGGCTTCATGCCGACTTTGTTCTGAAAAATAAAAAACTAATTTGGATATCTGGGAACTATTAACATGTGATAGATCTTTCTAATTCTCTTCCTTCCATCCTTTCGTATACTGATTTTAAAGGCAAACTCTGGTGAAGTGATAATAGACCCCAAATGAATGAAAATGGGTTGAAGGAAAAAATTACACATTTTATTAAAATTTACAGGAAAGATAACCTAGGGAATATTCAGGTTATAAGTTTTTTCCCTGTATAGCTGGAATGAATTATTATACTTTTATTATTTTGCACATTTATACTTTGTTTCCACACGAACAATATCTCACCTTTTTGTGTCACATCTAGTGCCTATCACAGTGCTTGTTAATTGGCAATGTGTAAATTGTGTTTAAATGTAGTGTTTTCAGTATTATCTTATTTTTAGAAATGTATTTTACTTAAGAGTTCAGAATTACATATATTAAAACTATTAGGTGATTGCTTCAATTATAGCTAAATTATTTATCCATTGTAATTATAAAAGCATTACTGCTTTAAAAAAATTTTTTTTTCTTCCAGTGATATCTATGTATCTATGTATCTAACTCCCTTATTCAGCAGGGAATTACCTTGTTGTCTGACTGCTGCTGCTATTTATTGGTGCTACCTTCTGCTTTATCAGTGAGTAAGTATAAATAAACCACGCTTATTACTTTCATATGTATATTCCAAAATTTTATATGGTTCCCATCTCAATACATAACTGTGCTTTCTAATGGCACATAACACTTCTAAAATACAGTTGCTGTTTTCTATAGGGCCGGTAACTAATTTGTGTAGATACTAATCTTTTCATATCTTCCCTTTCCCCTTTCTCCCTTCTTTCCTTCCTCCCTCCCTCCCTCCCTCCTTACCTCTCTCCGTCCCTCCCTCCGTCAGGCTCAATGTACTATGCTAGGTACTAAAGAGGACTGAAAGAAACAAAACACTTGGTCTTGCCTCAAGTAGCTTACCATCTAGTGAGGAAAAGATGTGTACACGTAAAAAGGAATTACAAACCAGAATGGTATATGGTATATCACAAGTAAATAGTACAAGCTTATACACTATAGAAGATCTAGGGAAGATATTATGGGTTGGAACTGTGTGGTTTCTTGACTGAGACTGAGGGATAGTTTAGTACAAGGGGAGACACGGGACAATAATTGGAAGACCGGGTTTTCACTTACACCACTTGCTAACTATTGTAACATTATGGCTTGGGCTTTCTGAAGTTAATTTTTCTCATATGTAAATTGGGAATCATGATCATGATAATACGTTTTGTTTACTTCAATTTGTAAATCATAATAAAATAAAATTATACAAAAATGTTCTGAAACATTAAAGTATGATTACAACCTAAGGGTGTGTTTTAACTTTTCAAAATATTTATTTATTTTTAGAGAGAGGGGGAGTGAGGGAGAAAGAGAGGGAGAAAAACAGCACTGTGTGAGAGATACATGGATCAGTTGCCTCTCCCATGTTCCCAACTGGGGACCTGGTCTGCAACCCAGGCATGTGCCCTGACGCGGAATCAAACCAGCGACCTTTCAGTTCACAGGCTGGCGCTCAATCCACTGAGCCACACCAGCAAGGGCTAATTTTAATTTTTCACTACATACCATAGTATCTATGCTCAAACACTAAGAAATGTTGAAAGTTCAATAAAAAGAGAGGAGCAGTGCTGGTATATTATATGCATGTTATTTAATAGGGAGAGGAAATGACAAAGTAATGACAGGGCTATGATACAAATATGACTTTTTTGTTTGGGGACAATTTATACTACACTTATTTAGAAGCTAATAATGGTCATGAATAATGTAAGGATAATTATAGCCACTATTTATTGAACATTTATTATGTGCCAGGGACTCTGCTAAGAATTTTTTGTACATTTTCTAATTTAATCTTCACAACAATCCTAAGATTCAAATATTATTGTCCCATTTCACAGAGGGAAAACTCTGGGTCAGAGAGATTATCATTTGGCAAGGCCACACAACTAGTAAGTAACAAGAGCAGGATTTGAACCTAGATCTGCCTAACTTCTAAGCCAGTAATTTCCATAACTTGGGAATATCACACAAAATGAATAGTAAACTCAGAGCCAAATGGAGTGGTTTGATGTATTAAACCAGAAGAAGAAATGAGTATTCAAATAATAAATTATTTTAAGCAGAGATGAAGTGAGGAAGGAAGCTATTGAGGAAACAGAAAGGCCAGTTCATGAAAGACTTGTGTTGCCATGTCTGAGAATTTAAACTTGATTCAGTGGATAATCAGGAACTGCTGAAGGTTTCAAGTACAGAAGTGCAATCGCTTCCCGCCTGCATAGAATTGGTGCTCCATACATACTTAATGAACAAATGAATAAATGGGATTGGCCTTTTAGAAAGAATGACCTATTGACAATGTGGAATATGGTTTAGAGGGAAAAAAGACTGAAAGTAGGAAAACTGCTGTAAGAGTTTGGGTAAAGATGTCAGAGCCTGGACTGGTGGTTTACCACCACTGGTTCGGAGAGCCAGTTGTGAATATCTGCCCAGCTTTAGGTTCAATGACATCAGGTTGGTAGTTTGTAATGAATCAGCCTGGTGGGAGTATTTAAACCCACAGATGTTGGCAAACACTACCACTTAGGTCTTTCTTTTTGAAGACCTGATTTAACAACACACTATTGGCCCGAGAAAAAGGTTGGAGAGAAGGGAATAACTTACTAGAGGGATTAATGAGGAATCAGCAATATTTAGCCTCAGTTGGTTGACAGGGGAGGATTGTCAGTGGGGCAGATTATAAAATGATTTATGAAGTTGGAGGTGTGGAGGAGTCAAATGAGATACTGGTAACTCTTAATAAGAGGAGTTCAAGGTAGGGGAAAGATAGTGAATTCTGTTCAGGGAAAATTGAAATATATGTGGGACATGATGGTATAGATGTCCAGAAGACAGTGGTTATATAGGTATGGGACTAAAAGGAGAGGTCTGGGTTCAATATAAATATATGGGAATCATGATCATATAACTAATAATTGAAGTCATCAGAGTGGAAAAATTTAAAACAAAATAAAGGGACAGAACCCTGGGAAAGGCTGTGGTAAGTCTTCATGCTTTATAAAGTAAATATAAATGAAACCTTATATTTTTGTTCAAAGACCGAGAAGGTAGGTAGACTTGTATTTTCTTTGTAATTACTGTATTTGGAATATAATCACTGCAATGTAAATGTGTTTTAAAGACTATTGGTATCTGATGAAAACAGGCATGTGACAGATCAGATTTATAGGAACTTTATAGCAATGGTTATCAGAATGACACTGAAAAAGAGAAAGATTTAATAATCCAAAAGGAGATTAACATATCAAACATCTGAAAGAACAAAAACATTCTACAAAACTAGAGAAAACAAAGTATTTCCAGAATGAAATTATATACATACTTCTCTCTTGGTACTATATTATAATTGTTTATTTCTTTTTCTGTGTCACTAAATTGTGCTGGGGATGGGGAAATGCTGTGTCTTTATCTGTGTCACTGGGTTTGTACTGTACATCATGTGTACTCAGGAAAAAAAATCTTTCGTGACAGGATTGGAGATTTGAACAAAGATGATCTAGAAGGTCCCTTTCAACCCCAAGAGTATGAAAAGGGAAGTGGTGATAGTTCCTTACCACTTAAAGGAAGTGAGTTTACTACCTTGTAGTACCAAAGGGCCAGAGTTTCACAGCTACGGAAAGGAAGTAGACTCTCAGCTCAGTGTCACACAGGTTAAGAATTTTCTAACAATTACTGCAATCCACCAGAGGAAAGGTTGTTTCAGGAGATGGCTATCTTTGAAGTAACTATAATGAAAAAGCTGGAAGCGTCCTTAGATATCTTTAGTTTAGATCTTCCCAGTTTTTTTTCATGTCATTCATTGCCTACACGGAAAATGGTCGCACAGCCCATCAATCAATAGCTCCAAGTGTACTTGTCACAAGTTCTCAGGGTTTTGGTTGGGCAAACTGATCTAATGTAAATCCTCACCTGCAGTGGGAAAAACGGAATCTCAGAGAGGGAATGCGGCCTTCCTGGATCAAGACGTTATTGTTAATGTTGGGGCTAGAACGCGCCTCTGCGGTCAACTAACTGGCCTAAGTCGTCTCCCCGCTAATTAAGCAAGGTTGCCTGTCAGGCTTGAAGGTCGGTATTAGCTGCAAGTAGATGGGACGATGGTCTAGATCAGCGTTGCTTTAAGTGTGGTCCCACGACCACTGGCGTTAGAACTTGTCGAACCTTTAAGAGTTTGTTAAAAATGCAGATTCATGGGCACCACACAGACTCACTGAATCGGGCGCTGCGATAAGTCCCAGAAATATGCATTTTTAGTTTTGAAAACGCGCCCCAGCCTCTAAGCCACTCCTCCTCGGCAGTACTTTTGGCTCCAGCTTCTGCTTGAACTCAGTGGCTCTGCTGGGCGCTCAGCACCCGCCAATCTGACCTCAGAGCAGCGTGGGCGGTGCGTTTTCTGGTGGTAAACTGTTACGTACTAGCCCTGCGGCCGACACTAGCGGACGCCACCCAGGGCATGGTCCGGATGAAGCCGCCGCAGTACCTCCATCACCTCCTGGCCCCACTGCGGAACCCACTGCGGAGGCGGGGGCCGGGGGCAGTGGCGGGGGCCGGGGGCAGAGGCGGCTCTGCAGCGCCCCCTAGAGGCTAGGGCCCTCCGCAGCGAGCCGGGCTGCGACTCCCCTTCTCCGCTCCCGAGCTCCTCCTCCTTTTCTGCAGTCCCGCCTACCGGGGTAGCCACAACGGCGCCTGCGCCAATTCTGCCTAACCCTAGCCTCGTATCAACCAACAGGAAGTTAATAGGTTTCCCATAGTGCCTCGCGAGTGGAGGGATGTGATTGCACGCTCTGGAGGGTTGAACACGGGTTCAGGTTGTCTTTGTTGGGATTGTCCTATTGTGCCTGGGTGCTCTTCGAGATTGCGGCTTGGTCACTGCCTGGTCGGGCGGGTGCAATGCCGCTTCTTCGGGGAGTGTGGGGCGTGCTGAGTGCCCTGGGAAAGTCCGGAGTGGATCTCTGCGCGGACTGTGGGAGCCGACTGCGCTCTCCCTTCAGGTAGGACCACTCGCCAGTGCCTCAGGCGGAGGCCAGGCACCAGACGCCCGGAATGTAGACCGTTTCTTCCACTTTCTGCACACCGCGGCCCCCCTCACCGCTGGGGTCAGGGCTGCCTAGACCCTTTGATTCAGACCTCGACCTTGCCAGTGGGATGGTAGCTTTGCAGGCCTTACTCCAGTAGTGCCCCGTGCTTTGTTTCCGGCCACCTTGCACCTTCCCGCCCCCCTTCTTTGTTGGGCCTTGGGGCACCTGGTTTATTGGTGTTCTTTGTAAAATAGCGCCAACTGTCTCCCGCCTTCGTCTAGGCGTGCAGGAGGCGGGGCCCAGGAGCTGGCGTTTTGGTGCACACGCTTTTCTCTGCCCTTCGTAGGAGGTAAGGGCTTGCAGTTAGGCTTCGCTGTTGCAGGCTCCTCTGGTTAGGGCACGGTTTTAAATGTCACTAGCTTTGTCGAAGGTGTCGGAAATACAGAATATTGATGACATCTTATTTGGGATCTGTTTATATACAGGTGAATATTGGCACTGACATATTTGACATTGGTTATTTTCTTTTTATTTGTAAGTAGTTTTGTGTATATACCGAGATGGTTTTCATCCACCTTGAGAAGTTATCCAAAGAAGCCTATGACTTCATATGTTCGATTTTCTAAAGAACAGCTACCCATATTTAAAGCTCAGAATCCAGGTAAGGTGTGTGGGGGCTTGTACTCTTCTCTGATGTAATAAAGAGCCCACTATGCAGTTAAACTGCAAAATTGATTTGCCACTACCAAACCATTCAGCGGCTGCAGGAACATAACCGTTCTATGTGATGGCCCGTGAAACAGCAGGTTTAGCTTTTTTCCTTTTTTACCAAATATACGAAATGTAATTGGGAACTTATGAAAGATATTTTATTTTTAAAGATTTTATTTATTTACTTTTAGAGAAGGGTGAGAGAAAGAGGGAGAGAAACATCATGTGAGAAAGATACATTGATCAGTTGCTTCTCACACACCCCAACTGGGTACCTGGCCTGTAATCCAGGCATGTGCCGTGACTGGGAATTGAACCAGCAGCCTTTTGGTTCGCAGACGAAGGCCCCATCCACTGAGCCATACCAGCCAGGGCTAAAGGTATTTTACAAATAGCAGTGTTTTGGACCCAGTTGCCCTTGGCTTAGAAGACCATTGATGAATCATTTTATCTCTTGCTTAGCTCCTCTGCCTCAGGGAATTGTTAATGGAAAGTTGTAGTGAAGTAACTTCTGTGGAAGTGTTCTGTAAACTTTAAAGCTCTATAAAAATTAGTGCTAACTTCAGGGGCTTTTGCACTAAAAGATTTCCAGATAGTGTATTTTATGACTCCCTAGAAAGGCTGTAGGGTCTTCATTTGGGGTTGTAGTATAAAGATAATAGCTAACTTTTGTGTATGATTTCTGAAGTTTTTTCACAAACAGTACATCACGAGAAACTTCTGAACATCAAATGAGCTATAATAAAAATTCTCAAAGAATTGGTGTATGACACATGCTTAAGTGCTCACGTCTTTTTCAAATGTAGGAGTTGAAACTAAAGGGGTTTGTTAAAGCCTTTACACCTCATCATTTTAGTTAAGATGAGGAAGGAAATTGGGAATGAAAAATTTAGTTTGTTTACAAATGGTATTTCTGTAATTAAAATCCAAGATGGTGGTATATGAATCAAGACTATTTTGTTCTTTATTCAGGCATTGTGAACTTAATTACTAAAAGACTTGAAAAAAATGTTTGATTAAAATATGAAGTAAAGAACTTGATGAAATTGATTGCCCAATTGCTTAAACTAGTAATCAGTTTCTGAGGATTGTTTGGTAATGCATGATATACTCCTTGGTTATTAAATAACAGATTAACATTTTGGATAAAGTTAAATTTATCATATAATTAGTTGCTTAAAGAAAGGTTAAATCTTTGTATTAAGTTGTCTGTGGTATAGCGGTTTCTAATAAAACATGTTTAGAGTTAATTATGATTTCCCAGCAGTCTTTAGAAAAAAATTAATCCTGAGATATAAAATTGTGACCTCTTTTTTCATTCCAATTCATAGGTGCGAGAAATTCAGAACTGATTAAAAAAATCGCAGAGCTATGGAGGGAACTTCCTGATTCAGAGAAAAAAGTAAGTATATAGGCTTTCAACATTGCTGACGAGTTATTCTGCAGTTAGGAACAATTGTCATGCCTTTTAAGGGACCAGATGACCCAGAGTTTTATTTATTTTTTTAAACACCCATTATCTTCAAAGGAACTTCATACCTTCTGATTTACATAAATGATGAGAATATGGATTGTGTGGGGTAGGGATGAAGGGTTAGCAGCAATTTGACATTGAAGGCCAATTGCTAGACTCACCCTGGTTAGCATGTACATGAAAAATAACATGATTTTGGTCCATATAAATATGATCTCAAAGCACATTTTCCCCCTGATGCTTCAGTCTGTCTTTACTTGAAGTCATGCAGATGTCTTTCCTTGGCAGATGTGTTATGTTTAATTGGCCAGCAACAGTTTATTGAATTCTTACTGGATTTTTTTTTTATTTATAGGTATATGAAGATGCTTACAAGGCAGACTGGCAGGCATATAAACAAGAGCTGATCAGAATTGAAGAAGAGCTAACTCCAAGTCAGAGGGTAGCTTTAGAAAAAGAAATGATGCAAAAACGTTTAAAAAAGAAATCGATAATAAAAAAGAGAGTGAGTATCATTGAAATACTCTTTTGACAAAGAACTGAAACTTACATAACTATATGATTATAGGTAGTTTTCTCTTATTTTGATGATATGTGTGGCTATATGGTATACTCTAGTAAGGAAAATTGGGATAATGCTCTTCTGCCATTAGGATAATTTGTTATTAAGTCTGTCTTGGAAACCCTTGTTGCTACCTTGGGATGTATTCGAATTTAAGATATGTAGTTAGGACTATCAGGAAAGCTGTAGGAACAGACAAATCAGGAATAGTAAAAATTTTTGCTTCTGAGTTTTGTCTAGAAAGTCTACTGATTTGAACAGTTCTATAGGCAGTGGTGAATTTGATTCTGAACATTGCTGAATAGACTGCATTTAATAACACATCAGGGAAATGTGCCTATTGTATCTAATTGGATAAATGCCTTTAAAATGAAATCTTATTTTTCCTCATTAAAAACTCACATGGTTCAAAAATTGTAGTTCCTAGCTTAAGGTATTAATCCACATAAATTCCACTGTTGAAAGTTAGACTACATTTTTGTACAAAACCAGTATTAGGTGTGAGGTGGTCAGTACCTGCCGTATAGAAAATGGTCATCAGCTAAAACTATTTTTTCTGAAAAAGTAGGTTATAGCTTTTAATGTGAGATACCCAGATGTAGATCCCTGACCCTAATGTTTTGAGTGCTCCTGAGGACTCAGCCGATTTCAAGTTAGTAATTTAAGATTGCTGATCCAATTTGTGAAAGGATCTAGAAAAGAAAGCGAGAGTGAGAAATACAGTTTCTGCATAGGGGTAGTATTTGGATGGGTGAGTACTGAAGTTGACTCTTCCACTTTTACTCTCCCTTTCTCTTTAATACAACCAGCGGGTGCTAAGAGTGGACAGGAACAGAAGTGAGGATTGGGCAAATAGAAGGAGTTTCCTTTTCAAATATTTCTTGTCGCCCTGGCTGGTGTGGCTCAGTGGATTGGGCGCCAGCCTCCAAACCAAGTATTTCTTGTCTTCCTTTCTCTCTTCTGGTATTCCCATTGTGCTTTTGTTACACCTGCTAAACCTATTGTAGTTGTCTGATGGTCCTTGGTATTCTGGATTTTCCCCCCACGTCTTTGTTCTCTTTGTTTTTGGGTTTTCTAGATCAGATTCTTTTGCAGCTGTGTCCAGTCTACTAATAGGAACATCAAAGGCATCCTTTATTTTAGTTACAGTGTTTTTGCTCTCTAGCATTTCTTTGTGGTTCTTTCTTAGGATTCCCATCTCTCTGCTTACATTGCCCATCTGCTCTTGCATGCTTTCTAGAGCCCTTAGTGTATTAATCATAGATGTTTTTAAATTCCTGATCTGATAATTCCAACATCCCTGCCATGCTTCTTTGTCTCTTCAAACTATTTTTTTTGCCTCTTAGTATGCCTTGGAATTTTTTCTTGATAGCTGGACCTGATGTACTGAGTAAAAGGAATTGGTGTTAAATAGGCCTTTGTATGATGGTAGGTGTTGGGGCAAGGGAAGTATTCTCCAGCGCAGTGATTAGGTCCCAATCTTTCAGTGATCCTATGCCTCTCTTCTGTGAACTGCGCATGTGTTTCTGTTTTCTCTCTCCCCCTTAGGTGGGATAGGATGGCTAGAGTGGGCTAGATGTGGGTATTTTCCTTCCTTCAGGTAATACCACAGCAGGTTAGCTCTGATTAACTAGTTACCCTTGAAGGCAGGCCTTGTGAAGAATTAGAAAGTGCTCAGACACTTCACAATGGCTCCTTGTCCCCTCCCCTGCTGGAAGCAGTGGTGGAGGGCGGGTATTTTTCTTGATACTTATTGTGGGAATCTGGTCAAGCTCCTGGAGTTGTCAATCTCGCATGATTGTGAGGGCCCTCCGGTGACTGGGTCCTCTGGAGTTCTTAAAATCTCGGAGTTGTCCACACTGAACCTGCAGCAGTTTGTTCATTATGGTTCAGGTTTCCCTACCCAGCACTGGTTCACGCAATGGTTTCCTCCTGAATTTCTGCTTCCCTGCTTTTGTAAACCTCAACTTTCTATTCAGTTGTCTGTGTCCAGCCTGGGGGCCACCAGCAGCTTGCTCTGTGTCCTCCTCCTCATGGATCCAAGAAGACTTGTTGATTTTTCAGTCTGTTTAGTTTTGTTTTTAGAAATAGAGAAATAGCGTGGCGACTTCTAAGATTTTTACATGTTGAATCTGAAGCCTGAGGGTTTTTCCCCTCATACCTCCATTCCCACTCCCTGTTGGAATAGTCCTTCCCTTCCCGTTAAAGATTCGCAGTACCAAATAGTTAAAGATCAGGTGAGAAGTGTGGGAATTAGGAAGTTGCAAGTGTATCACCTAGAAGAGAAATCCCTAGTAGTGGTTCTAGAAATAAAAGGGTAGATAATTAAGTTGTGAAGTCTACAGCAGTTTCATGACTGAAACGTTCAGGAAGAAGGAAGTGATTTCTAGTCGGAAATCAGAGGAGACTAATCTTTCAAAAAAGATCTGTACATATGTACTCAGTTATTCCGTTCATGGAGACCATGAAAATAATATGTAAAGGAAAGGTATGGAAAATAACTCATACAATCTATTACAATTTTCAAAACTTGGTGCTATCACAATTCTGACCCCAGAAGGAAATAGTCAAATACTTTATATAAGATTCATAACATTCACTTTAAGGAACATTCTGCATAATACATAATAGTGAATATAGTTTCTGTAAGTAAAATTAAGTTTCATAGGGGTTAAAACTATATCTAACTCTTCCATTTTTATTACTCAGGAGTTAACACTGCTTGGAAAACCGAAAAGACCTCGTTCAGCTTATAACATTTTTATATCTGAACGCTTCCAAGAAGCTAAAGATGGTACCTCACAGGTAAAATAGAATGTTTTTTAAATTGTTGTTTAAGTTTAAAAATATTTAGACAGGAGATTTTAGGGGTGCCGTATGTCAGGTGGTAAAGAAAAGTAATAAATTACTATAAACAAGTACTAGATACAAATAAGGTCCTCTTTCTTATATCTCTTTAATAGAAAAGTTCTTTTTCTTACCATGCACAATTGAATATACAGTTGCCAATATGTATTGTCAACTTTTTTAATATAAAAAATAAAATTTTCAAGTTCATAGGGTGTTAGAGTTCTGGAAACTTTTCTTAGTCAGCAGTTCTTAACTGTTTTACAATCACTGGGTAAAAATAAGAGTAGATCTATAATATTTTGTACTAGAATTTGAGCCTAAACTGCTGCTTCATTTAAGTCTTTATTTAAGTCTTTATTCTAACATTTAAGTCTTTATTCCATTTTAAAGGAATATTTAATAAATATAAATAATAAATAATTATTATTTATAAATAAATAATATAAATAATAAATAATAAAATAAAGTTTTAGTTATGCCCATGGGGACATTTTGTATATGTGTATGTTGTCATATGAATGAGTCAAAGAAAGAAAATCTTGTTATTCCTGTTGTATTAGTCTTTATTTCCTTTTTAGAAGCTCAAAATTGGCAATCATATTTTTCCTTTTATAATATGACATAGTAAGAAAAACCAATTTTCGAATCCTTATCTCTTGTCAATCTCAGATGAAGGTTTTTGCCACTCCGCCACTTTGGGTTATTTGGATTTATAGTTCATTTCACAAATTCTATTTAACATAATATTTATGTTCCTATAGTAATAGGAACATAATATGGTTCTTCCTTGGTTAAATACTTTCACTAATTTATTCCCTTTGGGGTTTTAAATTTAGTTTCTATGGCCCTACATTATTAACATGCAAGCCTATTTACTTTTTTAGTTGGAATTATGTCAGTCATTGATTTACCTTGGAGTTAGTTCTTATCAGCATGAGGAGTTTATATGCTAGAGAATTCTCCTAGATCAGTGGTTCTTAACCCTGACTGTACATGGAACCGCCTAGGAAGTTTAAGGATTGGGTCCTATCCCTGGAAATGAAAATTAAGTTGACTATGTCATTTTATTCATTAAAAAAAGTAGTAGTTATACATCCTCATAATTTAAAGAATCAAAGTAAGGCTGGTTATGAAAGGTACTAGTTTCCACTGCCCTGACCTATTTCTTACTCTAGAAGCAAATTCTATTGTTTTAGCTGATTATTGTAGTATTCATCTCCATATTTCTAAATATCTCCTTATATTGTTATTTCCTGATTTTTTTCACTTTTAAGCATTAGCTATATTTAGACATTATTTTCCATTATGTAAGATGAACACTTAACTCTGCCCACTCTTCATGTTTCCGTCCTACCTCCCAATGTTGTTATCATCATTTTGGTTAGATCAGTATTCTATTTTGATTACTGTATTTTGCCGTGTATAATGTGCACTTTTTTGCCCAAATTTTTGAGGGAAAAATAAGGATGTGCATTATACATGGGCCTAATAATCATGTACCACAGGTGTTGTAATCTCGTGTGTAACACATACAAAATGTGGGCTCACATTATACACGGGAGTGCATTATACATGGCAAAACATGGTATGTAAATTCTCTTCATAGCTAAGCTGTGCCATTTGCTATGATTATTTTGCCTTTCTTGCAAAACTTACTTTCCCTGAACTTGATCATGTCTTGTTTTTTTAATTTTTTATGTACTATCAATAATTTTGCTGCAAACATTTTTAATATTCACCAGCTTTCGGTACATTTTAGATACATTAGATTTTTTTTGTTTTTTATTTTTGTTTCATTTTTCTTTTTTATTGTATTTTTTCTATTACCATTTATTCTTACACTCTTTTCCACCTCCCCCCACACCCAACCCCTGCAACCACCACACTGCTGTCCGTGTCCATGAGTCCTTTTTCGCTCCATCCCTCCACCCCAAACCACCCCCTTTCCCCGCACCAAGAGCCATCATCCTGTTCTCCATCTATGAGTCTGTCTCTATTTTACTTGTTTGTCTAGTTTCTTCATTAGATTCCACATATGACTGATGTCATCTGGTACTTGTCATTTTCTGACTGGCTTATTTCACGTAGCATAATGTTCTCCAGGTCCTTCCATGCTGTCTCAAAGGGTAATGACAAAGTAATATTCCACTGTATAAATGTACCATAGTTTTATTCATTCATCTACTGATGGACAGTTGGGCTGCTTTCAAATCATGGCTATTGTAAATAGCGCTGCAATGAACATAGGGGTGCTTATGTTCTTTCGATTTAGTCTTTCAGGTGTCTTTGGATAAATTCCCTGAAGTGGAATCACTGGGTCATAAGGCAGTTCCATTTTTAATTTTTTAAGGTAACTCCATACTGCTTTCCACAGTGGCTGCACCAATACATGTTTCCACCAACAGTGCAAAAAGATCCCCTTTTCTCCCCATCCTCTCCATCACTAGTTTGTTGATTAATTAATTTATTTTTATTAAACTTTTTTAGTTATTATTTTTAGAGGGGAAGGGAAGGAGGAAGAGAGGGAGAGAAACATCAATGTGTGGTTGCGTCTTGCGCGTCTCCTGCTGGGGACCTGGCTTGCAACCGAGGCTTGTGCCCTACACTGGGAATTGAACCAGCGACTGTTTGATTCGCCGGCTGGCACTCAGTCCACTGAGCCACACCAGCTAGGGCTGTTGATTTATTGATGATAGCCATTCTGACCTGTGTGAGATGATACCTCATTGTAGTTTTAATTTGTATCTCTCTGATGATTAGTGACATTGAGCATCCTTCATATGTCTGTTGGCCATCTGTATGCCCTCATTGGAGAATTGTCTGTTCAGGTCATTTGCCCATTTTTTAATTGGCTTGTTTGGGGGTTTTTGGTGTTAAGTTTTATAAGTTCTTTATAAATTTTGCGTATTAACCCCTTATGAGATGTATCATTGGCAAATGTGTTCTCCCATTCTGTGAGTTCTCTTTTCATTTTGTTGATGGTTTCTTTTGCTGTGCAAAAACTTTTATAGTTTGATGTAGTTCCATTTGTTTGTTTTTTTGTGTCCCTTACGTGAGGAGATATATGAGAAAAAATATTGTTATAAGCAATGTCAGAGAATTTACTGCCTATTTTTTCTTCTAAGATTTTTATGGTTTTGAGTCTAACATTTAAGTCTTTATTCCATTTTAAATTAGTTGTTTTGTGTGGTCTAGTTTCATTTTTTTGCCTGCATCTCTCCAGTTTTCCTAACACCATTTATTGAATAAACTAACTTTAGCCCATTGTATGTGCTTACTTCCTCTGTGAAATATTGACAGTAATGGTGTGGGTTTATTTCTGGGCTGGCTTTTTTGTTCCATTGATCTGTGTCTGTTTTCATGCTGTTTTGATTACTGTGGCCTTATAGTATAGTTTGATATTAGGTAGGGTGATTCCTCCAACTTTGCTGTTCTTTCTCAAGATTTCTGTTGCTATTTGGGGTCTTTTGTGGTTCCATATAAATTTTTGGAATATTTGTTCTAGCTCTGTGAAATACAACATTGGTACATTGATAGGAATGGCATTGAATCTGTGGATTGCTTTGGGTAATATGGATGTGTTAATGATGTTAATTATTCCCATCCATGAACAAGTTATGTGCTTCCACTTAACTTGTATCACCTTCAGTTTCTTTCTTCAGTGTTTTACAATTTTCCAAGTACAGGTTTTTTTTCATCCTTGGTTAAATTTATTCCTAGGTGTTTTATTCTTTTTGAAACAATTATAAATAGGATTATTTTCTTAATTTCTCTTTCTGATAATTCATTATTGGCCTATAAAAATACCACTGATTTCTGGATATTAATTTTGTATCCTGCTATGTTGCTGAATTCATTGATCAGTTCTAGTAGTTTCTTGGTGGACATTTTTGGGGTTTTCTTTTGTATAGTGTCACGTCACCTGCAAATACTGAGAGGTTTACTTCTTTCTTTTTGTTCGAATGCTTTATATTTCTTTTACTTATGTGATTGCTGTGGCTAGGACTTCCAGTACTATGTTGAATAAGAGAGGTGAAAGCAGACATCCCTGTCTTGTTCTTGATCTTAAGGGGAACACTTGTAGTTTTTGCCCTTTGAGTATGATGCTGGCAGTGGGTTTGTCATATATGACCTTTGTTTTGTTTAGGTTCCTTCTATTTCCACTTGGCTGAGAGTTTTTATCATAAATAGATGGTGGATTTTATCAAATAACTTTTTCTGCATCTATTGATATGACCATGTGGTTTTTATCCTTCATTTTGTTTATGTGGTGAATCACATTTATTGATCTTTCATCATTATCCTGGTGCTTTTGCGTCCTTCTGTTGTTTTTCTTGGTTTACTGATTCTGTTACAGAATCTTCCCCAGTAAGTGTACATGGGAGATTAGTTTTTTGAGTTCTTGCATGTCTCAAAACGTCTCTAGTTTTTCATTTGATAGTTGGACTGGATAGAATTGTTTCATGTTCTTTGAAACTTAAAGAGTAATAATACTCCTTTCTTTTGTAACTTCTTTGTATGGCTCTTGAAAAGTATAAAGCCATTTTGATTATTGGTCTTTTGAATGTGATGTTTTTTCCCTTTCTTTTTTTCTTTGTTCTGACTCTAGAATTCTTATTATTTGTTGGTGTATCTTCTGAATTGATATGCTAATTTTCTTATCTTTTCTGTATTGTTTCCTCTTCGCCTTTCTCTCTTCTTTCTGGGATGACAGTATACATTTTCACTTACTCTCCCTGTTTCCAGCATGGTGTATTGCCCCCTGCTGTTCCTGGTGTCCACTGAGTAACTCATAAATTACTGTTTTGAGAGGCCACGTCCTAGAATATGCCCATGGTGGGGATTTAGCCTCTTTTAAAACACTTTCAGTCAGTCCTCCTGACCTTATTTCTTATCTGGTGCTGCCAATTCTTGAGCTATTTTGCAATTCAGCATTTTAAAACACTATGCATTTTTGGCCTCCCGACTGCCAGTTAGAGAAGCGCTTTCATGGGTTAGGTGAACTAGGAACCTTGGCTCTATGCGCTTTTCAGCTTCCACAATTTTACCTTGGTAGTGCTCCTTATTGTTATCTTTGTTCAGATGGGTTTATGACTTAAATTTTTTTGTTGATTCATTTAATATTTTTTATTTTAAAATAAAGGACAGAAATTTATTGGTAACAGTTTTGGAGCCTGGGGCATCCAAGATCAAGGTGCCATCGTGGTTGCCTGCTGGTGAGGCCCCCTTCCTGTTCATAGCTGCACCTTCTCACTGTCCTCACGTGGTAGAAGGACCCATTTAATGGAGTTTTAGGAGTGAACAAAACATCTTTCCATCTCTTTAATTTTTTTTGAGTGAATTATTTTACTTAGGTGAAAGGTCAGATTACTTAGGCATGCAACTTTATAAATTATTTTTGAATTTATTGAATATGAAACTATGTATTAAACTTTATGGATAAGAAAAAGGTGAGTTAGGAAGGACTTGAAAGCATTAAAGTAAGCAATTCCTTTCAAAGCTAAGAGAGCAGTTATTTATTCACTGAAGTTTAAAATGTTTAAAACATAGTGGTTATGTAGTCTCAGGTACTACCTGGCATCTCTGTTTTTGTTGATAGGAAGATAAAATTCAAAGTTCTGCTCAGAACAGTAAAGCTCTTCTCTCTCTACTTCTCCTGAAAATCACTGATGATCTTCGTAGCATTAAACAGTTACTCTTTAGACTATGTCCTTCCCTCACGTTCCCCTTCTGTCCCTCATTTTCTACCTGCCCATTTTTCCTTGTATTCTCTGCTCTCTGGGAGCAACAGCATAGGCAGTGTGAGGTGCGCTGGCTCTCCTCTCTGCCTGTCTTTCAGCCATGGAATCCCTGTATCCCTTTAATTTTATAGATGAAGAACCAAGCCTAAGGGAGTATATAACTTTTTCCAAATCACATAATTAAGTTCAGCTAAGTAGAAATGAGGATTGGTATTATATTGTTCCTATGACTGTACCTAAACACTTTGGCACACATTTTAGAATAAAGCATTAAACTGTAGGGAAGAAAAAAAACCACTTAGGTCTTCGAAGTTAGATTATAACAGAATATACTTGAATATTAGTATTTCTGAACCAAAAAAATAAATATCTGGACAATAAAATCTCGACAAAATGAAAAGGCAGCCTACTCAGTGGGAGTAAATATTTGCATATTATACATCTGATAAGGAGTTAAAATCCAAAATATATAAAGAACTCAAACAACTCAATAGCAAAAATTAAAAAATTCTGATTAAAAAATTGGAAGAGGATCTGAATAGACATTTTTCCAAAGAAGATGTAAAGATTGCTAAAAGGTGCTCAACATCTCTGATTATCAGGGAGATGCACATCACAACCTCAGTTCAACTCACACCTGTTGAAACAACTGTTATCAATGACTAGAAATAACAGATGTTGGTGTGGATGCAGAGGAAAGAGAATCCTTGTGTGTAGTTGGTGGGAATGTAAATCGCTGAAGCCACTATGGAAAACTGGAGGTTCCTGAAAAATTTTAAATTAGAATTATTATATATCTACCCAGCAATTTTACTTCTGGGTAATATCCAAACAAAAAGAAAATACTAACTTGAAAAGATATCTGAACCCCCATACCCTCATGTTCATTGCAGCATTATTTACAACAGCCAAGGTGTGGAAACAATCTAAGTGTCAGATGGATGAATGGATAAAGAAACTGATACATGACTATGAATATTATTCAACCATAAAAAGAAAGAAATCTTACCATTTGCGGCAACATGGATGGATCTTGAAAGCGTTATGCTAAGTGAAATAAGTCAGACCAGAGAAAGACAAAAATACTGAATCATCTCACATGTGGAATCTAAAAAAGGAAACACCCAAGCTCATAGATAGAAAGACAGATTGGTGGTTGCCAGGAATGGGGGTGGACGAAATGGGGAAAGGTGGTCAAAAGGTACAAACTTCCTGTTGCAGAGCATGTGAATAATACTGTATTACATATTTGAAAGTTACTCAGAGAGTATATATTAAAAGTTCTTACAAGAAAAAAATATTTACGGTGACATAGACTTATTGTGATGATCATTTCACAGTATATACAATAATGAATCATGTTGTACACTTGAAACTAATGTTGTATGTCAATTATATCTCAATAAAAAGATACTTTTGTTCCAGTCATTTTGTATATTTTAACAGTTTAATAGTTTAATTTAGAAAGAAAAGATGTTAAGAATTGATGAGGTTTTACCTGTGATTCTTAGTATCTGAGTTTTTGTTGAAATAAGTAATAAAAAAAAGATTTTTCTTTAATCACTAAAGTTCCTTTATCTGGTACTTAAACGTATATTGTTTTACAGTTAAAGCTGAAGGCTGTAAATGAAAGCTGGAAAAATCTTTCTAGTTCTCAAAAGCAAGTAAGTATGGTTTTACTTTAAAGATCTGGTTAGACTATCTAGAGGATGATATAGTTAGAACAGAATATGAGAGGCTGTATTAGGGCAAGGCTTGATTCATATGAAAACAACCTCACACTACTAATAACACAGTTAAAGTATTTTAAAATAATATTCTATTTTAGAATCCATTTGGCTTTTTTTTCTTTGGGACATTTTTAACTGCAAATAAAAGTGGTATTTAAAACAATGTTGCATCGAATTCAGTGTCCAGTGTACCCAGTGACCATCACACTGTGCTTCTACTCCTATCCCACATCCCGAGCCTGAAATTGTAATAACATAATTCACTCAGAATTTTTGTCTCTTTTTCTCATCTAATTTTTATCTCACAAAACATTTCTTCTTCAGTTCCCCTTTATACATGTAGAAGAATAAGGTAATTTTTATAGTATCTATGGAAGCATTCCAGAAATTAATGGCAAAGATTCTTCTAAAGTCATTTTAACAATTATACTTTTTCTCAGGTATATATTCAACTTGCTGAAGATGATAAAGTTCGTTATTTTAATGAAATCAAGTCTTGGGAAGCACAGATGGTTGAAGTTGGACGTGATGATCTTCTTCGTCGCAAAGTGAAACCCCAAGCAAAAAGCACTGAGAAGCATTAAATAGAAGATTGAGTTATGATCATAAGGGATAGACACAAGAAACCAATTAGGTCTCAATATCTGAAATTCTTATAAAATTAGAAGGGTAAAGTTGGTAAACATTTTATACTTAATTCCTTTTTCTTTACACCATGGACTTCTGCCAGTTCAATACATTTTGTATTGGTGTCTTGCTTTGGAAAACTCATACAAAAGTTCATGCGAAATTTATTTTGTGTTTGGAAACTACAGAGGATCAAAATAATCCATGAAATGTATCAGTAACCATTTTACCTTTGATAAAGGTGAATCAGACTGTGAAGGTTTTTTATAATACTTGACTGTGGAAAGGGTATTCTTGTTTCCTTACATTATGGAGGCAGGGGTTTCCTATTCAGAAGTGTCCCAAACTGTAGAACTGTAGTGTTCTATGATTAATTGTGCATTTTTTAAAGAGCACGCCCAACTCATTTAGGTAAATTCCAATCTGTAGATATAATTTATATTCAGGGCTGACCGTTGTATAGGCAAGGGCTTGCTGGTTTCAGTTGCAACTTTTTGTACAAGAGATGGAGAGATTTGTAAACCTTTTCCTCATTGTCTTTTCCGAAAGTAAAAATTAAGACATTATGTACTAAATCTATGCATATTGTTTTATATTGCATAGAATTTTAATTTTTGTGTTTCCTAATTACAGATTTAAGGTGAAACATTTGTTTTACAGCTTTTTCTTTTTAAGTAGGGATATGCATTCTGAATTATTTTTTTCTCAAGTGAGAGTATTTATCCAGAGAGTAGAGAATTTGTCTGGTAAGTTTTAAAATGAGAGATCCCCAAACAGAAGTCTCCAAAGTCTCTAGACCTGGAACCTATAATTTTAAAACATTTTCTATAACATAAAAGACATATAAGTGACTGCCAGCTCTGGCCTGTGGGCCCAATTCACCCCACTGTGTGTTTTTCATGGTCTATGAGCTAAGAATTTTGTTTACAATTTTGAATGGTTAAAAAATATTTCAGGACACATGAAAATTAATATGAAAGTCAGTGTCTATAGATAAAGTCCTGCTGGAATACAGCCATACTCATTCATTTATGTTTTCTTTATGGCTGCTTTTGTGCACCAATGACAGAGTTGAGTAGTTGCTTCAGAGACTATGTAGTCTGCAAAACCTAACATATATACTGTCTGACCCTTTACAGAAACAATTTGCTAGCCCAGCATCTGCAGTTACAGTGTAGTGTGACAAGTGTTCCAGTTTATTGATATGTTGGGATAGGTTTTTTAAGTGACTCAGAGGTCCTTATTTTAGAATTTGTCAGCATTGTCTTAGGAGGAAGAGGTCAAATCACAAAAGCTAAACTGTTGTCCCACAGTATTAGCAAGAAAAATAATCGTTTCAAATTACATTGCATTATAATAAAAGTTCCATCTAGCGTGGAATGAGATTCTCTTAAATTATTTGCTACACCTTGGTACAGTGAACCTTTAGAGTTTTCCAGTTAGCACATATCCAGAAATCTTACCATCTTTTAGCATTTGTTTATCCTCCTAATAGAGTCAAGCAGTTTCCACAATTCACAGTACCTTTTTGATCAAAATAATTCATCTTTCATCATCAGTTCATAGGAATAGGATAACTCAAAATTTATGTGTACCTTATATTATGCAAACTAGTTAGGAATTCTCGATTCTAGATCTCCAGAAAAATTTTGAAGATTTTTGTTGTTTGTAGATAGAAAATAAGTAAAAAGTCATGCCTTGTTCTATACTGAACTTGACAAAGGTATGGACTACAGACTGAAGAGAAAAATATAACTTAATAGGAAGCTTAAGATTAAAGTTGGGTGTTTTCAAACAATTTTCTCCTGTGGCTATGAACAGAGGACAACGTTGGCTATTAGTTAAATAGATACCATGAGGAGAGGGGTTGAGGAACAAGAGGTGTACTAGTATCTGTGTTTCTTGGGCTTCTGAGAGAGATTAAGCTCTAATTCTGTGTGGCATCTCTAATGGTACTGATTATGTATCATACTTAGGAGAACAGAAAATCTCATTCAAGTCATTTACTGTGTTCTGTGCATCAGATGAGCCCAGAGAGCTCTAGGAGTCAGTATTTGTAATGTTGGAGGATAGGTGAGGTTGAGAAATGAGTTATGTAAACATTTGGAAGACGTGTGTTGTATAAAACAGATCTTTGCAATTATCTTATTCCAAGCTCTTCAGCATTCAACTACATAAACTATTTCATACAGAATACATTCAAATCATATCTTCCTAATTATATTAGGAAGTTCAGTGTCTAGTACTCAAGTATTAATACAGGAGGAAAAGAAGTATGAAATAGTGCCCTGACTGGAAAGGCCACTGGTTCGATTCCTGGTCAGGGCACATGCTCAGGTTGTGGGTTTGGGGCACATACAGCAACATAATCAATGTTTCTCACATCGATGTTTCCCTCCATTTCTCCCTTCCCCTTCACTACCCAGAAAGTGTAAAACAGTGAAAAGAGCTAAAGTAAAAAAACATTTTATGGTAATCGGTTTTTATTTTTTTTTTTTTCTAAAAGAATGTCATTGTTAATGCTTTGAATATTACAATAATCTCATTCCATGCCTTTCTTTATAAACTTCAGTACATGTTCAAGATTGGTAGGCCATGTACCGGATGCCTTCTGGTTTAACAATGTGAGCACATTTTTTTTGTTGTTGTTGTTTTTATTTATTGATTTTTGAGAAAGGAAGGGAGAGAGAAAAAAATTGATTTGGTCCACTTGTTTATGCATCCATTCATTGATTCTTGTATGTGTACTGACTGGGTATTGAACCTGCAACCTTGGCATATCTGGACGATGCTCTAACTGAGTTACCGAGGCAGGGCTAACCTCTGTTGTAAAGAATAAGAACTTATGTCAATAACCAGTAGCCACTCATATAAAGCTTTTCTTTTAGACTAAGTTGACCTAACCAACTAATTGCTATAGGAAGAGTGCTAGGTGGAAAGATGCTGAAGAAATGAAAGCTTGCGCTGTTCTGAGCACATGTTGTCCAGAGTCATGAGGAGATTTCTCTACTTTGTTTATTGGTGTACCAGTTTTAGGTTTGAAATACTTAGATGACAGGAGAGGTTGTGCGGTAATTCTACTTTCTGATGTTTATTTGAAGGATGTTGTGTGAAGATTTAGCCTGCTGTAATCATGTAATTTTGCTATTGCTTCTGGCTAACTCCTTTTTTGAAAATGCCGTTTTTTAAAAACAAGGTGTATATTTTTATAGATTCTATGAATGTGTGTGTATTTAAATTTCTGAATTAAATTGATTTAAAGTAACTACCAAATTTTGTTGATTTTTTTTCCCCTGACATTTTCTATACCTAAAATTAATCACCACCAGGAAGTTTTTATATTAAGTGATAGTATGCATTATTTTTCTTAATTTTATCAATATTAACTCTAAAAATATTCTCTTGCTTTCCTCTCTCACGTCCACTCTTCCTCCTTCTCTTCATAGCACCAAGCTCTTACAAATTTGAAAATGTTATTAAACACACACTGTTGAAATTATAAAGCAACACTACTCATTTTAAAATTGAACTTTTGGAAAGGGAAAACTAAGAAAGTGAACATATTTATTATTACTTCTAACATGTAAAACTTCCCAAACAGAAAGTATCGTAAAACTATACAAAGCTATTATCAGTTTCTAACATTGTTCACAAAGTACTTTTGGTAATTGATTAAATCATTAATTATATTTAATGGAAAATAGGTAAAACACAAACCATTTTCTAGTTGACCGTATCTGTAGGGGATTAGTTCCAGGGCACCCCCCTAAGCCCCAACAACACCACCAAAATCTGTGCATGCTCAAGTCCCTTATATAAAATAGTTATACTGTATTGTTTAGGGAATAATGACAAAAACATCTGTACATATTCAGTGTAGACAACTATCTAGGTTTAACTACATAGTACACATCAGCAACAATTAGAATATTTTTAATGCGATTAGCCCATGGATGCAGAACTCACAGCTAATAGAGGGCTGACTACATTTAAAAATATATATTTTACTGTCTAAGGAGCTAAATACAATGAGCCTTAAACAAGAATTTTAAGCTAAACATTTAAGAATCACCCTAACATTGTCTAAATCTTACATAATATTTTCTGATACACATGGTGCAAGAAAATATTTGAATTTTTTTGCCTGTATTTAAAATTTATTGATTTTCATTCCCCTCCCCCATTAATCATGTATAAGATAGAGGAAGAAGGAAACATAGTTTTGACTGACCAATATAGTGCCAACTATCCGCTTTCCCATTAAAAACCTTGGTTTAGTTATACCCTTTTTTTTTTTTATTGTTCAAATACATTTGTCTCCATTTTCCTGCCACCATTTTCCCCTGCCCCACACGTTTTGTGTGTTGAATCATGAGTAGGATTAAGTGGCGAGAAGAGTTCTCCAAATTTTTTAAAGTTAATTATTCAGAAGTTGTTGAATCATGACCACTATCCTACTCAATTTTGGATTTTTTTCCTTCAGTCACCGGTCAGAACATACCCTCAATACTAGTGTAACTGAGGTGAACAGGAATTTTACTGGTAGATACTGAGAGATGCCAATAGTTTTTCCAAGCTGGAATTTATATCCTGACGACTTACATGAGGATAACAGAGATTTGTTGAAAGTGTGGAAATTTTATCTTGATTTTGAATAACATCAATTTATATAAGCTGAGCATCAAATATTAATTAGACTTAAACAATTCAGGATATTTCCCCAAAGCTATGCCCTCCCTCTGCTTTTAATTTTGTAGGGCTCCTGCTTGTCATTTGTACAGTAATAGGAGCCCAAATGACTGACTGGATGGCGAGACATGTCACAGCCCTTAGCCACTACTGTTGTCAAAGTGTTGTCTTGCATTCAGAAGGGAAGTGTTCCTCTTTTTTTGTTTTTATGAAAAATGGGAATTGGTTGTTGATTCAGTGTGTTGCTGAGTAGGAAGAATAAGAAAATGTACATGAACAAAATAATAAGAATTAGCCATTGCTCTCTATAAAGACCAGTGATGAAAAGATGTTTGCAAATGGTGAGGCTAAGCCCTCTTCTCTTTTTCTCTTCCAAAATTTCCTGAAAGTGACCAAAATGAAAAACAAGTAGAGGACAAAGATATAGCAACATTTGGATATGTGAAACAGTATCATCAATAGAGCAGCAATTTCTAGCTATTTCTGGAAGATGAGTAAGGATCAACAGGTGCTCCTTGATGCCATTATGAGCAAGCCACATAAAGTGAGTGAACTAGAAACGTGGACGTTTCACCAGTTTTGAGCAGTGGGGGCTAGTTAAAGGTTAACTTCTAAGGTGGTTGGAGAGAAGGAAGTGTGAGTAGACAGACTAAAGAGAATTTGTTTCTCCCTAGTTATTTTGCATAAATTGAGGAAAGTAGAGTTAGATAAGTTATTGTATAATGGGTTCTTTGTTCAGATTAGGTGTGGTGATTCTCAACCATTGCTCAAGAGAATCTACTAGACCTTTTTTAACACACAATTGCCTAGGCCAGATTATGGAGGGTAGAACTGGGCAGGCATTGGAGTTTTTGTGAAAGTTATCTTGGTGAAATAGTGTGTATTAGGGTTGGGGAACCACTTGGTGTTGCTCAGAGCTTTCCAACCTGGTAGTAGCAGCTGGTAAAAGAGTAACTGTAATCCATTATCCAAGCTGGGAGGTTTTTTAAAAAGTGGCAACTATTTTATATTAATGGGACAACAGGCATCCTGGGACATATGGTCACTCTAGTCATGAGTGTGCTTAGTTATTTATTCCTTTTACCTCTTTGTGTAGTTAGGCTATTGCTGGGAAGAGCTTAGGAACCATAAGGTGCCTCTTCTGTTTTCTTCTGTATGCCTTGTGAATATTAGCCATGAAGTGAAAAAGATTGGTAAGTACTGTTTCTAACTAACCCCGGGCTACTTTTAACACATACAGTAAGATGAGAGTTTCCTCTGAAAGAGGTGTCACCTCCCCTCTTATTGAATCCCTGATTTAAACCCTGGCCAGTTTAAACTTCGATGGTGCTTGAAACATGGAATCAAGCTGACTGAGGACTCTTCTTTTTATTTCATGTGCGGCCAGAGATATTTGCTTTCTTTTTCTTGTTGTTGGGTTTTTTTTTTGTTTTTGTATTTTCTTTTATTTATGTGATGTATCACGTTTACTGATTTGCATATATTGAACCATCCCTACATGCCTGGGATGAATCCCACTTGATCGTGGTGGATAATCTTTTGAATGTATTGCTGGATGCGGTTTGCCAATATTTTGCTGAGGATTTTAGCATCTATGTTCATCAGCGAAATTGGCCTGTAGTTTTCTTTCTTTGTAGGGTCTTTATCTGGTTTTGGGATCAGGGTGATGCTGGCCTCATAGAAAGAGTCTGGGAGTGTTCCCTCTTCTTGGATTTTTTGGAATAGTCTGAGAAGGACAGGGGTTAGCTCTTCCTTAAATGTTTTGTAAAATTCTCCTGGGAAACCGTCTGGCCCTGGGCTTTTGTGTGCTGGGAGTTTCTTGATTATTGCTTCCATTTCCCCAGCTGTTACCGGTCTGTTCAAGCTTTCTGTTTCTTCCTCCTTCAGTGTTGGAAGATTATACTTTTCTAAAAATTTGTCCATTTCATCAAGATAATCAAATTTCTTGGCATATAATTGTTCATAGTAGTTTCTGACGATCCTTTGTATTTCTGTGGTATCAGTTGTTATTTCTCCTCTTTCATTTCTGATATTATTAATTTGGGTCCTCTCCCTTTTATTCTTGATGAGTCTGCTTAAAGGCTTGTCAATTTTATGTATCTTTTCAAAGAACCAGCTTCTGGATTGGTTGATCCTCTGAATTGTTCTTTTCATCTCTATGTCATTCAGTTCTGCTCTAATCTTGACTATTTCCTTCCTTCTACTTGCTCTGGGATTTATTTGTTGTTGTTTCTCCAGTTCTTGAATTTGTAGTGTCAGGTCTTTTATTTGAAATGTTTCTATCTTTTTTAGGTAAGCCTGTATTGCTATGAACTTCCCTCTCAGGACTGCCTTTGCTGTGTCCCATAGGTTTTGGACTGTTGTCTGTTCATTTTCATTTGTTTCCAGAAATTTGCTTTCTTTTTAAGAGCACATAGAACATTCTTCGGGATAGGCCACGTGTTAGGTAATAAAACAGCCTCAAATTGAAAAAGATTGAGGTCATGGAAAATAATCATAATGAAAAAAATAAGATTATTTGGGAAGTTCACAAATATGTGGAATATAAACATCACATTTCTAAACAACCAATGTGCCAAAGAATAAATTGCAAGAGAAGCAGAAAACACATTGCGATGAATGCAAATGAAGACAACAGACCAAAACATAACAGGATACAGCTAACGCTGTGCTGAGAGGAATATGTGTAGCTGCTACTGTCTGTATTATAAAAGATCACAAATCAACAACCTAACATTTGGCCTTAAGACTGGACAAAGAAGAGCAAAGTAAGCCCAAAGCAAGTAGATGGAATGAAATTAAGAATTAGAGCAGAAATTAATAGACGATATAGAGAAAAATTAGTGAAGCCAAAAGTTGGTTATTTGAACTGATCAATAAATGTAACAAACTCTTAGCTAGATTGACCTAAGCAAAAAGATTCAAATTATTAGAATCTAAAATGAAAGTGGGAACTTTACTGTAGGTTGTACAGAAATAAAAAAGGATTATAAATAAAGACTATGAGCAATTTTATGACAACAAATTTAAATGGACAAATTCCTAGAAAGAAACTAATAAAATATATAAACCATATAACTGATTATTTGGGAGGAACTAGAGGTATTTTCTAGTTAGTTGGGTCAAGAAAAAAATTCAAATGTTATTTAAAGTGATACAGCAATACAAGAGCTAAAACTATAAGAAAAATAATGGGGTAGTGTAAATGTAAGAGATTAAAATTTTTATCTTCCATGGAGACATTCCTTGTATATAAATAAATTGTACATGTACAATCATATTAATTAGAGTATAAATGTAATTAGCACACTGAAACCTGAAAAGTGGAATGGCTAGCCTGAAAGGCAGAAATAGGTATGGGAGGACAGGAAGCAAGATTTGCTTTTCTTCTGCTACCCTTCTGACTGATGTTTCCATTTCTGTATTTATATTATTTAAATAATTGTAAGTGGAAAACTAAAATATTTATAGATAGTTTGAGGAAAGAAAAAAAAAAACACTATAAACAAGACTTCATTGTCCCAGAATTCTTAAGAGGTTGGCCAGGATTCAGGCCCTACTTGGTTTTACTTTAAACCATTATG